GTGTACGACATGAAAGGCAGAGGGCTCAGGACACAGCCCTGGGGACAGCTGATGCTGATGGTTGAGAAGATGTGGGGGTCCACCGTAACCCTTTGTGTGTATTGTGTTACAAAGTCCTTAATCCAAAGACAGGTGGAGTATAGGAGTCCTAGGGCTGACAGCTTGCTCACCAATCTGTGAGGGAGGATGGTGTAAAAGGCAGAATTAAAGTCAATAAAGAGGAGGTGTGTGTAGCTCCCCTGGTGCTCCAGGTGGTACAGGGAACAATGAAGAGCAGCAGCAACAGCATCCTCAGTAGACCTGTTAGCCCTGCAACCAAATTGGTGAGCATCAAAGGTGGAAGGGATGAAGGACATGATATGACTCCAAACTTGTCTCTCAAAGCACTTCATATACTCAAAAGGATAAAGAGTTGGTCCAATGATCCACAACCAGGATGAAAACGACATTGTTCCACGTGAATCTGAGGTGCGACTAACAGATGGACAATCTTCTCCCGGCCCTTGGCGTAGACCTTTTACTGGCAGACTGAGGAGTGTGACTCCCGGAAGTTGGAACATGCCCACCAGTTGCCTTTCTTGAAGATGGGAGCCACTGCTCCATTCAGATGACAGTGCCTCTCAACTGTCTGAAAGAATCTTATAGAAGTGTGTCAGCCAAGACTGGCCACCTGCGTTTAGAAGGACACCTGTTTCTTTTACTATCAATTTCTCTGTTCAGTGACCATTCGTGATATACTGGGTACATCTTTACTTGGTTTTCTCTGTTTACATAGCACCACTGGAAGTCATTCATACCCCCTCTGTCTGTAACATTCTTCATTAGCTGGCTCTGAGCTGGATCTTTCTGATATATTTTTAATACCCTTACCACCATCTTCTTTCCTCACTTTTCTTTCCCTGACTCTAACCTAACAAAGTACTGACACATATTGTAGATTCGATCCACTTAAAGAAAATTATTTGGATTGAAATTATATGCTTACCTGTGCAGTTGAGCTTTATCATGGAGGAAGATGAGATGAATGTTGTACACGTCCTTAGAGCAGATCCAGATTTAACACAGTCAGAGCGTACTGTCAGCGGATAGAATCCAGTGGCCTTTGTCTGTCTTACAGAAACAGCAGAGCCACAATCCAGATGTGCACAGACAGAAGCTGCTCCCTTCAGGCTCCAGTCAGAGACATCCACTGGTCTCCACTGCCTCAGATAATTTACCTCTAATGTACCTGAGCAGCGACTGGCACCTCCCACCAACCTGACAGGCTCTGAATAGAAAGGACAAATTCATCAGTAAAAGAATAAAGTGAGTTTGAACCACATCAAAGCTGCAGCTCCTCTTCTACCTGAGCAGGTGAGTCCAACAGCTTTGCCAGGTGAGCAGCTGTTTCTAGCTGAGCCTGAGCTTCTACAGTCCAGGAGAGCAGACTCATGGCCTCCACACTGCAACTCTTTGCTCCACACTGGAGCCTCCACTTCTCCATACAGCG